CTATCCGACCCCGTCCACCAGGGAGGCTTGCGGAAAGCCAAAAAATCCGCAACAAACTTCCCCCACCCCCCTTTACTTATCGTCCTTATTCTTTTCGTATTCAATTTTTAAACCTATTTTCAAATTTCTCCCGTTTGCCGATGTACATGTGCTACGATGGCTTTTATTCAGTACACTTCTGATTACAATGTCTTTTTAAAGTTCTGTTTGCGGCGCCGCTTAGAATGGTTTTGTGCAATGCAATAAAAATCTTTGCTAACTTTGAGCTTGATCCGACAACGCGAAAGCGTGCCCCGGCTAATCTGTACGCGATACAGAATTATGAACTGCATATTCATGAAATTAGATATACACCTATTCTCGTTAAATTCCTTTCTTTTACACGAGGGACAAATTTCGCAATAATTAAATATATTATACATCATACAACCTCGCGAAGATTACAGGGAATTTCCTTATTAACAGCCTTCATATTATTTGGACACTTATGACCTCGTGCAATAACCTTTCGCATGAAGCGAGTAAACTTTCGTATACATTATTTTCTTTTAGTAATTACAGCCATTTTGCGGAGTGGCCCGCACAAACCTTGAACATTTATAAAATGACGGTCAACCTAGTGTGCATCGTATCTAACAGAGTTATATTATTTTGTCCTTGAGTAAGGAATTTATGTCCCTTTGTTCGTTGCCTACCGAAGAGAGTATTGCATTTAAGTACGGTCGGTGCCCTAAAGTCATAATCCTATTTTCTCCTGCAGCCGAAGTTTTGTATACTCAAGGATAGTCGTTCCGACGGTGATTCATAATAATTACGTTGTCGGACAGCAAACAATTTTTGCAATATCCATCGAGTGATTGTTTATAGAGCTTCTCATGGCAAACACGAATCTGGAAACGCTAGGAAAGCAAGTCATGTGATCCCGTTACAGACAACGTGAAAACGTGATCCTCTGCCGTTCATCATTGAAATAAACAACTACATTCGCGCGGTGCACTTACTTCCTTTATGATACTGTATTCCATGTTTCAGTATGTTGAAAATAAATGTGACTATCGTACTATCTTTCTCCTTACTACATGACACACGATATTGTGTTTAACGTGAATCATATTGCCGGATATTTGTTTGAACTTCAAAAACACGCTCGGTTCGTTTGTTATGAGTCAGCAATGAGAGAGATGTGCATTTTTTATTTTCGACCCCAAACTGCTTTTTCCTGAATTGTCACACGGAAAAAAATATCTTTCGGAAAAAATTAATGTATTGATTTGTAAAAAATATTGTTAACTTAATAATGGGTGCAACGTGACTGCCAATGTCTGTGAGAGACGAAGAAGTGGAATGAGAAATGTACTGAATATTTCATTTTGCATTGTCGTCTTCTATTACATGTACTGTGCGAGTGATAAATAATTGAAGTCGCTCGACGGTAGTTGCAACCGGAAGTGAAATTAATATTGTTGGAAGCGCTGGGAGAAACTGTTCGACTTGTTCGACTATGCCCATGAATTAGTTCTGTTTTCCTCCGCAATTTGGAAAAGTGCGCTCCTGTAGACAGCAGTAGAGGGATCATGCAAAATAACTGCTTTTAATGGGAGTACTGAAGCACGTCCTACCGCTGGTCAGTGCTTTGCGAACTGTGCAAGTGAAAACGTCTGTGAACGAAAATGAGTTTGTCCCAGTCGGATATCCTTGCCATCGGCATTCTTTTGGATGCGGATGCAGAAGAGGAGAGGAGAGAGGAGGCTGAGAGTCCAGAAGTGGAGCGCGAACATTCCCAACGACAGCATTGGGTGCATCCTCTATGGAAAACCCGTGCAGCAGAGGGTGAATTCGCGACACTGTTCAAAGGACTCATTGATCACGAGGAGAAGTTCTTCGAGTACTTCCGAATGCCGCGCGCAGGGTTCGCGATCTTATTCCAAAAACTGGAACAGCAGTTGAGGAAGAAAGATACGAACTGGCGAAACAGCATTTCTGCTGAGGAAAGATTGGCGGTTTGTTTGCGGTACGCG